GGACTGGAGATGACAAGAGAGAATTTTGAAAGACCAAAGACTTGTTCAAAGCAAAGACCTTTTTTCAACAATGCACACAGCAAACTATGCACATGGCCTTCTCCAGATGAAATACACAGAAATCAAATTGACTACATCTGTGGGAAAAACAATGGAGAAGTTCAATATCCAAAGCTAAAACAAGGCCAGGGACTGACTGTGGAACAGAACATCAATTGCTGATAAGTAAGATCAGGTGGAAGCTAAGGAAAACTTTTAAAAGTCCATGAGAGCCAAAACATGACCTTGAGTGTATCCCACCTGAGTTACAAGGACATCTAAAGAACAGATTTGACACACTGAACACTAATTACAGAAGACCTGATAAGTGGTGAGACGACATATAGCATCATTCATGAAAGAAAACGGTCATTAAAAAGAAATATAAGTAGATAAAAATTGATGTCAAAAGAGACTGGAACTTAGTCTTGTTCATAGGGTGGTTTAGGAATGTGGAAGAAATAATGAAGTCAAAGAACTGAACAGAAAATTACAAAGGGGAACTGGAGAAGACAAAGTAAAATATTATAATGAAATGTGAAAAGCCCTAAAGTTAGAAACCCAAAAGGAACAACACACGTATCATATCTTAAATGGAAAGAACTCAAGAAAACATTGAAGTCTCAAGTTGCAGTATTTAAAGATTCCATGGGCAAATATTGACCAATACAGGAAACACCAAAAGAAGATGGAAAGACAACAAAACAGCCACTGTGCCAAAAATAACTCGTCCACAGGCCACCTTTTCAGGAGGTAGTATATGAGCAAGATCCAAGGGTGCTGAATGAAAAAGTTCAAGCTGCGTGGAAAGCATTAGCCAAAAACAAGGCTACAGGAATTTATGGGATACCAAATGAAATGTTTCAACAAGCTGATGTAGCACTGGAAGCACTCCCTAGTCTAGGTTAGGACATTTGGAAGACAGCTACTTGGTCGACTGACTAGAAGAGAGTAATGTTTGTGCTCAACCCAAAGAAAGGTGACCAATCAAATGCTCAAAATATAAAACAAGATCTTTAATGTGATATGCAAGTAAATTTTTGCTGAAGATATTGCAACAGTATATTGACTGGGAGATGTCAGCGTTCAGGTCAGATTCAGAAGAGGACATGAACTAGGGATATCATTGCTTGATGGCAGACAGATGCTGGCTGAAAGCAGAAAGATGTTTCCTTGTTTTTTTTATTGACTTTATTAAGGCATTCAACTGTGTGAATCATAGCAAACTATGAGAGAAGAATGGGAATCCTGGAACACTGCATTGTGCTTATATGGAATCTATTTCACGGGTCAAGAGGCAGTTTTGTGAACAGAACAAAGAGATACCGCACAGCTCTATCAGGCGTGTGGCAGGTTGTATTCTCTCACCAGACTTAATCAATATATGCTGAGCAAATAACCAGAGAAACTGGATAGTATGAAGAATAACATGGCATCAGCATTAGAGGAAGGATTTACACAACCTGTGATATGCAGACAACACAACCTTGCTTGCTGAGAGAAATTGAAGCGATTGCTGTTGAAGATCAAGGATTTCAACCTTCAGTATAGATTACAACTGGATGAAAAGAAGACAGAAATCCTCACAACTGGACCAATAGCTATCATCATGATAAATAGGGAAAAGGATGAAGTTGTCAAGGCTTTTATCTTGCTTGGCTTCAAAATCAAACTCATGGAAGCAACTTTCAGGAGACCAAATGACACCTTGCATTGGGTAAATCTGCTACCCAAGACCTTTTTAGTGTGTTGCAAATCAAGAATGTTACTTTGGGGACAAAGCTAAGCCTGATGCAAGCCATGGTATTTTCAATTGCTTCGTATGAATATGAAAGTGGGACACTGAATACGGAAGGCTGAAGAAGAATCCATGTGTCTGAATTATGGTGCTGGCAAAGAATATTGAACGTCCCATGAACTGCCAAAAGTACAAGCAGATACGTTGGAAGTACAGCCAGAAGGCTCCTTAGAGGCAAGGATGGGGAGACTTTATCCCAAGTACTTTATGTTGTCAGGAGAGACAGGACCCTGCAGAAGGAGATCAAGCTTGGTAAACTAGAAGTGAAGCGAAAAATTGGAAAACTCTTGACAGGCTAACTGAACTCAGTGCTTACAATCACGGGCTCAAACAAAGAACGGTTGTGGGGAAGGCACAGGATGGGGCATTAGGAAGGCTGAGAACCACTGTTAAAAGGGTCCAATGAAGGAAGGCCAACAGGTGACATGGCAGTCTGCTAATGGATCCCCTGGTCTAGCAGGCTGTCGCTTCAAGTTCAAAGAATCGACTATCAATGAGGCAGATGTAGGAGCCAGACCAACTAGAAGTAAACGAGCTCCCTACAGAATCTATTTATATATGAAATAGGTCATGAGGAAAATTCAGTGGGGGTTACACTCCACCCCAATCCTCTAACAACCGGTTGGCTACTCACTTAGAATTGATGTTAGGTCACTGAGAATCACGGCAGTACTTCTTTCGAGATAGATTTGTCTGTTCTTTGGGTAGTCTGTGGTACTTTCAATATTCATCACCAGCACCATAATTCAAAAGCATCCATTCTTCAGTCTTCCTTATTCAATGTCCAACTTTCACATGCATATTCAGCTATGAAAATCCCGAACGTCTTCTGGAGCGGCTCGTTGAGATTTTCAGGATGCAACGTTTGTGACAAGCAGCCAAACAGTCTAGGCTGTTTCGCTTGGGTTACTCACCACCAACAATCATGCTATTGTTTGGGTAATGTCTATCAGGCAACCATTTGATAAGAAACGGGATTCATAACTCACCTGAAAGTTGTCTACATTTGTGCATGCCCAATTTATAGTCAATCTAGAACTGTGTATAGAAGCGTGAAGAGTAAGCATCTGAATGTCTCATTATATTTTCTAGGGCATTCATATCTGAGCGTTTTACACAATGGAGTATATATTACTTACATTAGAAACTTACCATTTTTTGCTTATATTACACTTAGTGCTCAATTTTTAAAATTTTGGTATTAAGTGTGTAAATAGCATAAGTGTTTTAAAATTCACTCCAGAATTATAAAGTGTTTCTGTAGAATAGTTATAAAAATAAAACATTGGGCCTGATCAATTTGACAATCACTAGGCCCTACAAAAACATCACCCTTCTCCTGCTATGGAGAAAGTGCTATTATTTTACTTTGAGGGAGGATAGTTTGAGAATTATTGAATAAGTGGAAACCAACCATAAACCAAGGTGCCTGAGGTGCATTTTTAAAGCAAACTAACTGACAATGTGACATTTAGCAAGTCACTCTCTGGATCTCTTACTATTCAGGTTAGTCCACTAGCTTGAGCCCTTCAAGATCCCCTTCTGTTTATCCCCCATCCCTAAGATAGTCGGAAGTTTTCTTCACATTAAAGTGTGCTCTTTTGGTTATACCCATTACAGAAATTTCCAGCCTGGTGGTTCCACTTTTCCATATTGATGACCTAGCAATGTTTCAATCTTTAATGACCGAGGACACACTTTGCTGAGGCTCATAAAAATAGCGTTACTCTTCAAGTGTGCGCCTTTCAATTGTATACTCGTTTAATTACATGATGTCAACTTTTAATCTAACACAAAAGGAAGGCTATTAAGGGTGTTGGCCAGACTCTTGCCTTTGCAGCTTGTGTGCTCACATGAAACATTTTTCATTCCGTGCTTTCAAAGGTAACTCCCTTCCTACACAGAAATTAACTTTCAAGCTTAGAAACCAAGATAAGGGCAATAAGTACACTTACTTTGACAACTCCAGGGCACTTCCCAGGTGAGGTCAAAACAATCTAGAGGGCAAAGGTGAGTCATGTGGGCTTGCTGGAGTGTAGTCTGTTGGAAACTGTGGCCATACAAATTCGTCTTTGAAATGAGTGTAGTGATTGCACAATGTATTTACCCAAACGACAGGACTAGACCACAGTAAGTCCCGCGGGTCACTGTGTCCTTGATTCCGCACCACACCTCACGTGTACGCAGTTCCATGGGGGAAAGGCAACAGCCAGACCGGCCAGAGAAGCTTTCACAAACACGGGCCCATTTAAATTAAGGAAGGAGGCGCCTGAAAACAGCACAACTTCTGACGGCGGGCGATCAGACTTGTACACAGGAATGGGATCACAAGGCCAGCTTCTCCCCTGAGTGACTTCCTCTCTCTGAACCCCCTGCTGTTTGTAAATTGAGCAGGGGCTGGGCAAAGTAAGCTCGCCGAGCACTTTTTATTTGCCTTTCTCTTGTGTCACGAAACTCTCCACACTGCAGGGCAGAAAATAAGACCAACGTACCCAAAACACTGCACGTGTCCGCGACATGACAAGCCTCTTAAGTGCAAGGCATGAATCTTAACCGGAAGCCAAGCGAAACGAAGGTCGTGACAACTTTGGCAACAGGGCGGAAGGGTAATTCGCCAGCAACTGCGGTGGGTGTGGGGGTTGCAAACTCAGGTTCAAGGAAGAAAAAAAAAATCAGTGGATTCAACGATGCCTAGACTTGAGAGGCGGCGGAAAAGCGGGGACGAAGGGCAAATGACCGCGAACCCCACAAGGGAGCACGCCCTCTTTGCTCCCGGCATTTCGGTCACCCGTCGCCTCCCTCCCTATTTCTCTTAGGAAACTTACCGAGGGGGGCCGTCTAGGCTCGGCGCTGACAGCGGGGGCTCCCCAATTCTATTATGGTCGCCCTTTCCCTGCAAGATTTTGAGCGGTCCCTTGACAAATCAACTGGCCCTGGCGTCCCCCAGGTGTGGGCTCCGCGCGCACGGACG